TTTGTTCACGTTAATTGTATGGTTTGCTTGTGTTTAATCTTGTGTTGGGTTTTTCCCCTTGCTTAGACATTTCATAAAGTGGTGAGTTGGCAACCATTCATTTTTGCAATGCTTCCATGATTTTGTGAATGTGGTGATATATTGATATATGTTATTAAAGTATTTATTGTTACTGATTCTTTTCCTAACTTTCACTTGATTATAACAGGGCTGTCACCCGTAATTTTGAAATTGGAGTTGATAGGAACATGACCTGTGTTTCGGGTCGTATCCTTCCTACCCCTGATTTGAAGCTAAGTGGTCTAAGTCGAGTTCCCCTGGATAATAAATGCCAGTGGAACCTTGTTGGGAAATCTGTGGTGGAAGGCAAGGCGCTTCAGCAATGGGCTCTGATAGATTTTAGCTCCCAGGAACGCAGCCCCAACTTTAGGCTAAGAGCTGATGAATTTGTCTTTAGATTGAAAGAGCGGTGCAAAAAGTTAGGGATCAACATGGAAGAACCTGTCATAAAACATTTCACTGGCATGTATGAGCTCTCTGCAGTTAGAAAGGTTGAAGATCTCCTCAGAGGTGTGGTTCATGCAGCTGACAAGAAAATCAAGGGCCAACTGCAAATGATAGTTTGTGTTATGGCAGCAAAGCACAATGGATACAAATATCTTAAATGGGTCTCTGAAACAAAAATTGGTGTTGTAACGCAATGTTGCTTGTCATCTCTAGCCAACAAGGGACAAGATCAATATCTTGCAAACCTTTGTATTAAGATTAATGCAAAATTGGGAGGTAGCAATATGGAACTTACGGAAAGGCTCCCTAATTTTGGAGGTGAAGACAATGTCATGTTCATTGGAGCTGATGTTAATCATCCTGCTGCAAGGAATGTGACATGTCCATCCATAGCAGCTGTTGTTGCCACTGTCAACTGGCCAGCCGCTAATAGATATGCGGCTAGAGTTTGTCCTCAGGACCACAGGACTGAGAAGATACTAAATTTTGGGAGCATGTGTGCAGACCTACTGAATGCGTACGCTCGACTCAACTCGGTTAAACCAAACAGAATTGTTGTTTTCCGTGATGGTGTGAGTGAGGGCCAATTTGATATGGTACTTAATGAAGAGCTGGTTGATTTGATGAAGGCTATATACGATGATCACTATCGACCAGCAATCACTCTTGTTGTGGCTCAGAAAAGACACCATACACGACTATTTCCTGATGGTGGCCCTGGCAATGTACCTCCGGGTACTGTTGTGGACACAGTAATTGTTCATCCATCTGATTTTGACTTCTATCTTTGCAGCCATTTTGGAGGATTGGGAACTAGCAAGCCTACTCACTATCATGTTTTGTGGGATGAGAATGGCTTCAATTCTGACCGCTTACAGAAGCTTATATACAACATGTGCTTCACCTTCGCGCGGTGCACAAAACCTGTTTCACTTGTTCCACCAGTTTACTATGCTGACCTTGTTGCCTACCGGGGACGGATGTTCCAAGAGGTGCTTATGGAGATGCAGTCTCCTGTGTCTTCAACTACATCCTTCGCAGCTTCATCGTCATCTTCTTCAACTGCCTCATTTGAACAAGGATTCTATAATTTGCACCCCAATCTGCAGAACATAATGTTCTTTGTCTGATCGCAGGTACCCCATACTGTTCTGTCTGATGGAAGCCACCTTTTGTGTTCTGTCTGATGATAGACAACCCAGCTTTTTGATCTCCTTCACCACTCCCACGCCGGTGGAGGAGGTGGTTGTCCACATTTTGGAGATGCCCATTTCCAAACGCATTTGAACCTCCTTCCTATCGACCTAGCAAGGTGTTTGTGCGTGAATCTAATGGCATTTCATGTTTGTTTTACTGCCATTCAGTCTTTTACTTTCTGTGGTCCTCACTTTTAGAGGTGTGACTTCTAGGAGTGAGTTTGTCCAGTGATGTGTTAATGGTTTGACGTTTTATTTTGTGTGTTTACTTTGGTCCTTTGAGGCCACTGCCAGTGTGTTTGAAGTTTGCGACTCTGTTTTAAATTGAGTGACGTCTTTTATTTAAGTATTCCGAGACAGAAACTGAATTTCTTCTATGTAAGTGCGTGAGCTACTTGAAGTCTGTTTATCAGTTATTCAATGTGATTTGCATTTTCTCTCTTCACTAGTATCTGCTCGCGGCGCGGAAAATATTAAATATAGTTTTTCATAAAAAAATATTATTTTAAAAATACGATAGACAATAAGGAACATGCAAATATTATTATTGTATGAATATGTAAATGCAGTGTCAATATACATATGGAATAGGGAATTGCATCACAAAGCCTTATAGCAACCATAGGGAGTTTCTGCAGTTTACTTTTTTCATACAGGTCTCTCAAATGGTGTCTAAGTATGGTAATATAAGTCAATGGCAAGTCACTCCACTGTCACAATGTACTTTGATTTTGTTTTTTCATAAGAATCGTCTTCTTCATTCAATTGTTCAACTACTCTCTGAATCATCTGTAAAGAAAGCGAGAATATTAATAATAGTTGTTAAACTTTTTATGAATTTTTCAGCACACTTGTAAGGAAGAAACTTTGTGTTATAGTTCTATTGTACAAATATAAACTATCAGAATAAAAATGTTTATCCTATATTCATATTCATATGCTCATAAATAGTCCTAATAAAATTTGAATTTTTAGAAAAGCTATTCATTGTTCTTTTAAATTGCAAAAATTTTCTAAAATCAACTTATCTCCTCTTTAAAAACTGAAGCAATTGCAGTATCAATATCTCTACCGAAAACAGAAATATCATAAAGTGAAACAAAAATAGAATCAAGAAAATGCTCCATTAAGGGTTGCCCTACGATCACAAACAAAAATCTGGATAATAATAAAAAGATTATAATGTTCATATGTTGTTAACATTGTTTAGACAAATACATCACACATTCACCACTTGCAATTTTTTTTAACCATTATTAAAACATATCATTATGTTATTTCGTATGAGTACTCTAGCTAATAGTTCATACCATTTTCTGCAGAAAGTTAGCATAAATTATGCAGTGTTGTAGTAATTTAGCATATTTCAAGATCCTGAGAAATGAGAAGTAATGATATAAAGGTGTGACAAATAACAAAGCTTCTTCAGGACCAATTTAACTGCATAAGAAATAAGAAGTAATATCAACGTAATTTGCACTCGCACAAATTGATGTACAACTATAACTATTGAGGAATATGAGAAGATTGTACCATAAAAGTAGAAGCAAGCTTTGCCAAATGATGGAGGAGATCAAGTCTGTGTTCTGCCACCATATGTAATGGTTAAAATAGCACGGAGATATTATTGACTGTTTTCATGGACCGGCACAAGCAAACAGAAATAAATGTTCAAACACAATCAAATTGTAGCTACAAATTAATAGTATTTTAATTTATTAGTTATCTATAATAGAACATATATATCACAGGCTATTAAGTCTTTGAAAACGTACGTTGATATGAAAATCTTAACTTCATTAACATATTTCTTCAATTTGTTAACAGTCTATGAATCTATGTCACATTGTTATTATATTATTTCTTAAGTCGATTCCTCCATCAAGTAACAATTCCATCAATCAAGCAAGTAAAGCTACAAAGGTCAGCACCAATCATTAAGTATTGCAATAATATTTTCAGAACTTACTAAAAATAATTTTATTAAAAAATTAAATTTTCACATTATTGCAGTAATATTTTTATGTCAAGATTAACAACAAAAAATTACTTTATAAGGTCTGAAAATATGTTATAATCTTAATACAAAATCAACAGTACCAAAATAGTTAATTTGAAGTTAATAAAAATTACTCAACAGATATGAACCTCATCGCGGCTTGTATCGTGATTTCTTTCATTCATTAAACCTCTGAAAATGAAAAATATTGGTATTCACAAATTACTTGCCTTCATAGGATTGATCTTCACTTTGGTGCTAGCAGACGTAACTATCTCATCATGAGTAGATGATTTGTACTCAAGAACCTTCATGTTAGTAGCCTTACTAAAGAAAATTTCGAGAACATTGAATGCCTCCTTTGTTGATCATTCTTAAAGGTGAAGCAAAGACTCAAGGGATTACCTCATTACAGGGAAACCACCAATCACTGAAAAATTAACTTTCAATTGAATACTTTGGCATTGGATACTTTTTATCATCTGCAATTCTATGATATGGATATGGATATTGGAACTTGATATTTCAAGTAAACTCAAACTGTAACTCTATAGAAGTGCGAGCGAAAGAAAATGGAAGCATTAAAATAAAAAATAATACGATATCAAAAAAAAGACGATGCACCAGCAATATAATTTTTACTGCCAGAATGCGCAAAGCTGTTAAAAGCACAATGATAGAAAATCAAAATTGAGTTCAAAAAAATATTTGTATGAATTTACATAGAGTTTTAACCAAATTTTTTGTATGTAATGTAGTTGAAGAAGTCCTCTCTCTAACGGCATAGGTGGATCATGGTTTCGACATGCCTGCAGCGAGATGTATTATTTTTTAGTCAGGATGCACAAAGCTTAAAATTATAAGGACAAAATTTTAAACTGAGATCAAAAGATTATTTGTATAAATATTCAAAGATTGTGGACCTATTTTTTTTTTATATATCATTGTTCCAGAAGTTCTAACTCCAACAGCACAAGCAAATGATAGTTTTGACGTGTCTGTAGAAAGATATGATTTTATTAGTGAGGACACGTAAAGATGTGAAAATCAGAATACCAATATTTCAAAAATAAATTCAAAAGTATATCTTTATAAATATACAAAGAATGTAGATTTGTTTTTTGTATATGTTTTAGTTATAGAAGTGCTCTTTTCAACGACACAAGTGAATCATGGTTTTGAGGTGTCTACAGAGAGATATAACTTTTTTAGTCAAGACACACTGTTTCCAGAAAATTTCATCATTCATGAGTAGAATTTTTGATGCAGTTAAGTTGTTACCTTCTAAAAAAATATGGTCAGTCAGTAACCACCGGGAAGCTAAAGGGGGGAGTTATAGACTGTAAATCAATAGAAACAAAAATAAAGGCTTGTCTTGCCTGTCTGCGTAAGGTTTCACTCTCCAACACAGCCTTCTCCTCCTAGATAGGTATCATCCAAAAAGAAACATGAGCAGAACATGAGAAATGCTCATTCTTACTTCTAATCTTTTTTTTGCTGGAATAAAAAATATAAATATTTCAACTTTCTGATGTGGTTTACCTGCCTCCTTGAGTTCTCTAGTTGTTGTATCAACAATTATTCCTAGAATGTAGAATATTATAGCTCAGATTTCAAGATTCAACAAAATAGATATTCTCGAAAAATTTGACTACACCTTGTGGCACTAATAACTGAATAATCAAAGCAATCATCACACCTTCATATCCTTTATGGCTAATAGTCCTTCATTTAGTTGATGTTCAAGCAGTCGTAGTTCATTCAAACCCAAACCATTAAGGTCCTTGCCGAACAACCGCCTGAAATAACAGTCAATCACATACGTAGATTTAAACCATGTTCAAGTAGTAAATATCTTTAATCAATGATTTGCATAATTAACAGAGACATACAACTGTTTTATGTTGAGCCTTGAGAGTTCGTCTTTAAGACTGTCCACCTCTTTTTGTTCCTGCTTCTGCACGTGTGTCTGTAGCTGCGCCTGTGGTTGTGGCTGATAGTTGTCCTTGTTCAAGAAAAAAACAAAATAGAACAAATTCAAAAACCTCTACTAATTGGACCATGTCAATAGATAAAGGGCTGTTTAAACACGATTAAGTATTCACACTATTACCACACCCAACCCTCCACCATAGTACAAAAAAAATAGAATCATCTATATATGAGCCAAGTTTCAGTATGTCCATTATAACAAACTTAATAACAAACTTGTCGATAATAGTTTAACCGAGGCGAGCATAGCTGATATCTGACAGAGATTTATTTTGAACACAATAGAAGTTAAACCGTACAAAGATTCAGTATAGATGAATTATAATAATTTTTATAGTGAACTCCATATCAATTAAAGAATATTTTATACATAATTTGAATTACCTGCATTTTTCTTAGACAATTGAGAAACACAATTGTGAATACAACTTTAACAAACAGATAGAGAAATAATCATACTACACATAATCGTTTCATATATAAGAAAAAATTTGGTATGTTCGTTCTAAAGAAAGTAATAACAAATTTTTTAATGATAAACTTTCAGAAACAGAAAAAGAATACTGGTATAATCATTTAATTAGTAAAGTTTATTGCGGAAATTTTATCCGTTAAACCAAAAAAGAAGAGAACTTTAAAACTAAGTAAAGTTGAATAATCAAAATTGACGTAAGTTCACCCTAAAGAAATTAATAACAAACTTTTCGATGATAACCTTTCAGAAACAGAAACAGAATACTGGTACTACACATAATCGTTTATTTAGTACAGTTTATTGTGAAAAATTTATCATAAAAGTAGAAAAGAAAGAAATTTAGAACTATTAAAGTTGACTATGTTACTTTTGCATCTTGTAAAATCAACTCAATGGCATATGATATTTCAGGATTCAAACGATCCGGGATTCCCACATTCGAACGACTCTAACTTTGAGATTCAATTTCATCAAGTTGCTTGAAATTTGACTGATTTCATGAAGTGTTGTAGCCATATTTGCAAAGTTATGTATTTTGAGCAGAGAAAAAAGGGAGTGTAAAAGAAAAGAAAAGAAGTAGCAGACTGTTTGAGACATTATTAGCATAGGAGACAGTTTCTAAGTTATGGAGTTAGGTTTTGATGCCCACGTTTGGGAAGAGCATCGTGGAGTGTTTTTTTTCCTTTCTTCCTATTCTATGTAAAATTATTTACAAATAATTTTTGTAGTCGAATATTTAGGTTTGTAGTCGAATATTTAGGTTTATAATAAAATAAATAAAAAATTAAAGAAAAAACATGGGAGTCCATCTTTTTAATTAACGATCGTGGAGTATTTTTTTCCATTATTAATATTTTTATGTAAAATTCTCTTTAAAAAAAATGACGTGAGTAATTATATTTTTTTAGTTTTCAGGTTTAAAAAAGATATGCCCAAAAAACTTGGGCATGGTGTGAATAGATCTTCCCAGACGTGGGATGTGAATAACTGGCCAAATTAATGGTTTAAAATTTTGTAAGTTTTTTTCTATTTTCATTTTTTTTTTGAATCTCCAAATTTATTGGAGTTTTGTCTTAAAATATGACATGTGTTAATATTTCGTTTTGACTCTTGGCATAATATCATTGATTTGCCTCTCCTTTTCTATATTAATAGATAGATGTTTCTTTTTCTATGGATATAGTTTATTCAATAGACCTTGGTGACCACTCAGTAATCAGGGGCGGATTTACCTTCATCCAAGCGGTGTCATTCGACACCGTTTGGTCGAATTGTTTTATTAAATACACATATAAATAATAGTATGAAACTTTAGTTATATAAAATAAAATGACAACATTGAATATATATTTTTAGTTACGTTTTACTTCATTGGTCGAGCGCTTCTTCTCCCGAGCTCAGATCGTGAGTTCGAGTCTCAATTTTGACATGTAGTTTAATATATATTTTTTTCGAACTTCCGTTGTTTAAAAAGTAATGCTCGGAAGGATTGAACCCAACACCTATTTTAAAGCAAGTATGAACAAAACCACTGAAGTACTACTGCTTTTCGTGCCTTCCATCTACAAAAGTTACTCCAAATAGGCTATTATAAATATATTTTAAAAAGTGTAAATCCGTCGAGGCGAGTTGTCGTAATATATTTGCATTATATGTTTTAATAATATGTTCTGAATTATTTTTTAAAATACAATATTATTAAAATAATTTATTCATATATTTACTGTTTCAATATCGATACCGCTTACGAAAAATTCTGCGTACGCTCCTGTCAGTAATTAGTCTTTTATAGTAGTAGCTTCAAATTCTCAATAAGGATTAAAAGGGTGTATCTCGTTGATGTACAGGATATCACAAGAGGACTTTTTGTTTCATAGGGTGGTTATACATTTAATCATCAATGAAATTTCGAACATTTCGGATAATAATCCAAAGGATACATAATTATACAGAAATAAGAAAGAAAGGGCTCTTGTACATACGACGACTAATGAATGTGAGGAAGACACTAAAGAAAATTAAATACTACTAGTTTTAGCGTACGCGCGTTACGCGTGTACCCTGTCAAAATAATTAACTATTTTAAAATAAGATTTCATTAATATTATATTAAAATGTGTGCTTGAGTTATAATAAAAGTGCAAAATATGTAAATGTAAATAAATAGATTATGAATTTTTAGCTGCAATATTTTTTGTACTTTGATATAATCTAAGTGTAAGATATAAAAGTGTAAGAGATATAGCTCGTCACAAATCTAAAATATTAATTGTAATTACACTTTTATCAAATACATTACAAAATTTAATTTTTAAATAAAAATTTATTCTANGGCGAACGACATTTCGCTAAGGACCTTCATGCTTTTAATATAGTATAGATTATGGTATTGACAAGTAAGAGTTTGCAGCATGGGCATGTGATATCATGTGATACTTTTAAAGTTAGACAATAAGCATAAAGTTCGAATGCTCAACTATTGTATATCTGTCGCGCAGGTGATACTCTACTAAGTCTTGGAGAAAGAAATTCTTCATTTTATGTAATTAGATGGAGAAAGAAATTCTTCAACACAAAGATCAGAGGCGTATACAGAATTTTTTATGCTGTATTTATATAACTAAATAAATAAAAAGTAACATATAATATTATTTTCCTCCAAGTAATATATAATAATCCAAAGGATACATAATTATACACAAAAACTGGGCAGTAAGCCTCAGTATGGTTGATAATGTTTGAGACACAAACATTTTCTTCACACTTATCTACAACATAGACATTTAGTACCTTAAATTCATCACAGACAAGGCATGAAAGATGTCTAATCCCTATATCTCCTTCAACTTCATACCACTTACCAGATGAGCCAGTAATTATTAATTGTTGTACCCCTATATACCATAATTGAAGAATGTACTCATCCACTATATCTTTAAAGGACAATAGGTCAGAATCTTTATCTTTCCAGATATGAACCAACTTCTTTGAATAGATTAGGTGTGACTCTACAATTCAGTAACCCCAATAATTGAATACTAGGTCAACAAGAACTATCTACAAACATAAATAAGACAATGTAAAAAACGTTATGACCATTGTATACGGTCAAGATCGTATGCCTCCGATCCATATACTCGAGAGGTCGTCTGAAGTCCGAATCCAGGCAAGATCGAGTTCGAGCTCGAGCTCGAGCTCGAGGGTCCAGACCAGAGTTCGAAGGCAGAGCATGATACACGCTTGACCTCGGAATAGCACCGTTATGGACTTGTAACAGAATGGGCTATATTCCTGCCATGTCCCCAAGATCATGGCGCAAATCCCGAAATAAGATTGTACAATTCCGTACTAGACAGTTAGACAACTGTACCAAGAATATTCCTTACTGTAAATAGAAATATGCCTTATTTAGAAATTCTCCTATTATATAAAGGGGACCTCAATCATTTATAACATCATCTAATCAGAATATACTCTCTACTTTTTGCCTATTGTTCATCAGAATTGTCCTTAGCTCTACTGCTCTTACTTACTTTACTTTTCTTGCTTTATTGTTCTTATTATCCTAAGCCCACTTCGAGGTCACTAAGCTCGAGGTCACTACTGCTGAGTAATATTGGTTTGATTCTCTTATTTCTACTTCATATTTCTTTGTTATTAATTGGTATTGAACTAAATCACATATCTTTAAAACCACAAATCAAATTTAATTGTTACTCGTATTTTCGAGGTAAACAACCAGTAATACTTTATACAAAATGGACCTCACTTAATAAAGAAATAAAAAATCAAACAATAAAGAATGGGAAAAACAGTAAAGAATGCAAAACATTACAATAAAGAATGCAGAACTACCACTTTCCAATGTACTTAATCACATGCATAAGGGATATTTGGACCCATTCGATTATACACGAGCAAAAACACACAACTCAAACCAATAATAGACCATCAGAAATCAGAAATTAAAGGACCACCTCAAAAGATGCACATGCACGACAAAATAACAATAAATCGACAAACAATAGAGTAGGAAGCATGTGTAATAACATAAATATGCACATTTACCCAGGGAAAAAAAACCCTAGCTCGAAACATTATGTAGAAATCACACATTCTTCAATGATGAGCAGGTTTCAATGATAAAACTAAAGGATATGACAGGATGCAAAGAGGATCAGATTGAAGTATGATAGACACCTGTTCTAAACTAAGAAAGAAATCAAAATTATATACACCATATCTACACAATATGGCAACATTAAAAGCGATTCTTTTTTTGCATAATTTATCAAATTACAATTGGGCTCTAAGAGCTTCCGGTTGTTATTTTTAATTTACTTTTAACTGGGAATAAAGGTAATTGTTGCTTTCTTTAATATTTCTTTACTTATTATATACTTACATACACACACTCCAAGTTCAATGTTTTATTTCCACTGCACTACTATATTCCCTCAATATAGTAGTGGCTATGTGGCAAAAATCTTGACAGCCTCAGTTTGCAATGTTATTTGCAGGTTCTGCAACAAATGTTATTGTGACATAGTCATTGCTGCTATACACTGTAATATCGTAGAAGAGGAACAACCTGTGTCATATTCCAAAGCATCTGGCTTGAATGATGATTATAGCACCTATGAAAGTATTAGGTAATTTATATAGCAAGTAAAAAGCCAAGACCACAATTGTTTCTTTCTGATCTTCTTTCAGTTTATATGGATGATTATATGTCATCTCAAATCTGGTTAAATTCTTAAGTATGCTCTCACCCAGCTGATCACTCAATTGTTTCTTTGGCAATACTCGTTTTGCAATCAACTGTAGTTATTTATGAATGACTCAAGAAAGAACAACAAGTGTTGGGATTGAAAAATAGCCTCATTTATTACTAAAATTATCTCCCACCAAGGAC